TGTTTACAAGTCCTATTACGTTTATACATACTATACAAGCGCATATTAAATTTTAATTCGGTGAAATTCATTAGAAATACTATTTGCACTTACTGTTAAATTCTAATTGGTAAAAAAATGATAAGGTATTGACCGGGAACAATATATGTATTTGACCAGAGATAATCCCAGAATAGACTTACGGTGATTTCAGGGAATTTTCACTGTTTGTTGAAAATGCTAATTAACAATTTACTATCAGTGATATTTGTKGGCAAATCATTTGATATTAGAGCATATATAATTATATATTAATATGTTAAACTTCGAAATCAGTTTCAGCGTAAATCACTGATTTGCTTTTTGCATACTTTTGGACTCTCACAACAGATTTCAACAATGAGTATAATAGTTTTGCTCAACTAACGGTAGGTTGCTGCACAAAAATCCAATAGAAGTGGGTATAGAAAAAGGAAGAAGAAAGCGAATTTTACAGAAWTTTTCGGAGAAAATTTTTAAATTTACTAATCCATAAATTTGTATACATACCATGTTATCTTTTAACTGTATTTTAAAATTTAGTATTAGTAAAAATAYTCATTTGTAAAGGATCAAGAGCAGATATTCGGGAACTCCTCTCAAAAAAGACGTTTTCCAGTGACGACTATAACTCTTAACTTTGTAATATTGAGATATCTTAGTGAAATTAAGAGGGCATCTTTTCAAAAGTATGCTTTATTGTTAATAGATAAAATTGGTGATGTAATTTCGCTAGCTCTCCAAATATCTAGTACTAAGCTTTTAAAACTTTCGGCTTTGGCTTGGTACTTTAATATCAGTCAATGTGTAGGTTATCTATCGAACTGCAGAGTGTTTGTGCCTTCATATGCCAATTACAATTTTCTGGTTTATACTAATATACTTTTTACAAAATATATTAGTGAATTTGTGTGTTACAATATAAAAAATTAATCGAAAATATCTTCTCTCTTATAATTCCTTTTATTGTCAATATTCCTCCTTCAGACTCGATACATTCTTCTATAGGTATTTACTAGCTATTTTTATTTACTTACATGTCTAATAAATTTTCTATAATATTTTGTCAACTTATTCTTCCGCAATAGTTATACTTTATTGCGGTTTTTAATCGCTGACCAGGAAACGTCGAARAGCCTGCTTGTTTATAAAGAGCTAAATCGTACAAAGAGGCACTTTGTATACACTCGAATTAGTCTATCGGGTTTTGAGACATTGGTACCGAATTTTGCATAAAATATTTTCTCCGCAACGAGTTTCGCATTTGTTGGGCCGCCGATACTGGACTTTAAAAAATATAGCTGACCCCACGAAATCTATATTAAGATATTCTTTAACTTTGTATAAAATGCACCCGTGAAGGTTGTCATAGTCTCGTTATACTCAAATTTAACATTTTTTCTTGTTTTTATTTTTATTGGTTCGGTCCTTTATTCTTTAGTTTCAATATTTGCATAAATAATTCATAAGTTATGACATAGCACAGAGTGAGAGATCTGCAGTGAAGCTAGTTTTCTAATAAATTGCAAGCATGCCTTATCACATCCCGAAAGAACTTTACTATATTTGGCAATAAATGAAACATCTGCATAGCGTGTATATAACCCAAAAGGGCTAAATTGAACTTCCGCATATTTTTAACTTAAGCTGTTTGGGGCAACCAATGTGACTGAATATCTTCAAAATATAAATAAAATTCTGCAGAAATGCAAAATTGTAGCAAATTTGGAATGAGGAGAAGGAGAAGGGCATTTTCTTCAGCCCAAGTGTCAGTGAACTTTTTCCATTTTAGTACTGGCTGGGCTTTGAATATTTTATTGTTATTGATATTCACATACGAAACAAGAGATGAAAGGCTCGCTAGCGGAAAATTTTATTCACTGTGTATATAATTTTTAGGCATGTGAAAGTCGTCAGTGCAAAAATAAAAAGATTGAAACGAAACAAAATAAAAATGGAATGAAAGCGCGAATAAATTGATAGTCAAATAATTTATCACTTGAACACGTTGCGAAGAAAATGGCGAAATTTATGATGAAAAATTTGTTGTCGTTATGTAATTTGGATGTTGATGAAACTACAAACAAACAGCTATCTGCAGATRAGACTTTGATTTAAGCAGTAATGTTGTTAACGCATTTGATTATTATTCAAGAAAGAGAGAAAGAGAGAGGCATTTCGCAATATATCTGGAGGTGAAAAGGAACACAAAACAGATTTTCACTTTAAGTACCATCATTTGTCAAACTCCTCGGCATATTGTGTGAGCTGCCGTCAGGATAAAAATATAGGATAAACAATCAAGTGAACTAGGCTAACCATCTCCCTCCCGGAAACTTTAAACGACAAAAGGTCCGAAGAGCACTTAAGGCAGAAAGTAGGAGACGTAAAGAGTTATTGCGGCAGTTCAACTTAAATATATTCAATATAATATATTATATAGCAATTGAATTTAAGTTTTTCTTAATTGTATACAAATTAAATGGAAGTGGTATAGTGGAGATATTTATCTTGCCTAAAAGACTGCAGCCATAATAAATGCACTTCTTTGTTTGTTGAGCGATCGAAATAGACGAAGTACTTGAAATCAAAATACTCGTTTCAATTTAAAATGAATTTTTCGGAGAGAAATCTGTCGATGTCTGCAGAAATGCGTTTAAGAGTGTGTGAATGGCAATAAATAAAGTTGTTGCATATTCAATTTATATTTACAAGTTTAAAGAAATTGAAGATAAAATAAACATTTTACATTGGTGCAACATTTTSAATATATTACTATTGCTTAAGAAAATGTAAATGGGAATTTTAATTAAACTTGGTATATCAGCTTGTATGATCATTAAACTGAGGACTTGAAGAGGTGTTCAAATAAGAATTATCCTTATAAGTGGCAACTGCAAGTCAGCAGTGGTAGAAATCAATAACAATCTTTGAATATTAGTATCTTTATAATTCAGTTCCACTTTTTACCTTATATATTGGACAAAAAAGCGCCCAGAAATTGTGGTGAAACTCCACGAGTAAAATATACTTCAAAGAAATGTATTTTGCTGAGCTAGTAGTCTGGTAACTTATGCCTATTTTTATGATTTCTTTGGAGGGTGGTTTTTTATATGAAAATAAAAATGAATTGTATTGAATATTTAGAGTGTTTTTATTTACATATTGAAAATATAAAAAAAAATGTATTTGAAAAAATTTAATACTTTATTACTACTATTATTGCTGTCTCTTATACACATCTAGATGTGTATAAGAGACAGGAGTAACACTGTAATTGTAGTAAAACTGCTATAGTATCGAATCCGCTTTAAAAAAAAAACATTTTTGAGTTTTTGAACCTAATTACCAGACTACTACCTTAAATACTTTGCCTAATATGAGCGCGATTTGTCAACTAGTGTATCAATAGTAGCTGCCTAAGTCGGTATAGTCAATAGTGCGTTGCAAATTTTCAACGGATACAAATACTGACAAAGAAGTTGGCTCAAATTTCGTATTTGTAATCAAGTTTCTTATGCAAAATCATTGCAAATACTTATTTTTTACGGCTTCCGCTGATTCTGATTTGTCAAAAATATAAGCCTTCAAAGGCTGTCGAGTGATCGTTGAAGGCATGCCTCGCTCTCGACGACCTTCGACCTCTTCAACTGATGAAAATAAAGAAAAAGTGAAGAATATGTTAGAAAGATGGCAAGAGAGCTTAACGTCTCTTGCGTGTTCGTTCAAATAATTTTGGTGAATATTTGGGTAAGAAACGAGTTCTTGACCGACTCGTCACGATAACGCTGATGCACCATCGCATCGAGCCACGATTGTGACTGAATTCAAAGCCAAAAATACCATGAATACCATCGACCAATTACCGTATTCAGCCGCTGTGGCTCTGAGTGATTTTTTTGTTGTTGTCCAAACTTAAATTGCCGCACCGTAAAACTGGTTTTCAGTAGATCGAGGAGATAAAACGAAATTTGCTGAATAAGCTGAAGGTCATCCCAAAAAGAGTTTATGAAAAGTGTTTCGAGGACTGGAAAAATCATTGGCATAAGTGTATTACCTTGGGTGGGGACTACTTTGGAGACGAAAAATAAATTTTGATGAATATTTTAATAAYTTGGGTATAATTTAATTTTGTCTCAATTTAGTGTCTAAAGTCAAAGCGATGTCATAAAATGCCTCTGAGCTATAAAAATTTAAAAATAAAAAATCACGATTGTCATGTATTTTCCATGGAAAATTTGTACATGCTTTGGTCCAGTCCTTAATGTTAATATTAAGGG